CTCTGTCCTGCCCCCGAGGGACCACTCTCTGTCCTGCCCCCAAGGGACCACTCTGGCCTGCCCCTTCACTTACTTTCTCTGGAACCGGACCACGGGGTCAGCAAGCAGGTCAGTGACGTCAAGCTTTCTCCCCTTCTCGATGACATCTCGGTGCTTGCGAACAAACAGCCACCCGATGTGGGAGAAGAAGAAGCCCCGGCGGGCGTTGTGAGGGTCCGCGTCCGTCTCAGAGTACTTGTGGTGGACCCGGTGGTCCCTGGACCACTCAAAGATGTCATTCTGTCAGGAATGAGAGCGGGAATGAGGGGACAAGCCACTGGCAGCCTCCTGGAAAGTGTCCCGAGCCTCCCTGCCACCAGCAGTCCCCACTGTTCACATCAACCTGCAATCTCTCAGCCTCGAGTTCATCCCAAGGGTGGTTTGCAGCATTTTTCTTTCTTAGATCAGAACCACAGTAAATCATCACCTAGCAGGATTTCAGTTCGTGGGGAGGACGTGCCCACTGTGGGAGGTTCAGGTTTGCTGGGTGACCTAGTAGGGACACCAGAAAGAAAGCTCTGGTGTGGGCTCCAGAAGTCCCCACAGGAGATCACTTATGCCAACAAGAGAGAGATCTTGTGGTTAGAGGAGAGGGGCAACCTTGAGCATGAAATGATGCTGGTTCTTCACCCAGATCACTCTGCCTCCCTCTCCACTTCCATGGTCATTGTGTCCAACTCTGACAGACTGCAGGAAGCCAGAAGGTACAAAAACCTAGCGAACTACTTCCCCAAATCTCTGCAAAATACTAAGGCATGAGAGACGTCACTTTAGGGTTAGCTGACAGTGTAACAGGAACAGAGGGAGGCTACTGTGGGTCCTTGAGGCATCTCGTGTATTGGCAATATCCCCCAAGTGGAGGGGCATCAGGCTGGTATCACCGGTGCCCCGGGACAGACTCTGGGGCCCAAGGAAGAAGATCTGAGTCCAGAAGAGTCTGCCAAACCAACAGAGGTGGGGTGGGGTCTGGCACACATCGGGGGGCACACCCTACTGACCCTCTCATGATGGGAGACATTGGGAGGGTGTCTGGGGCTGGAAGTCAGGGGTGAGCTGCCAGGTGCAAGGATCAAAGTCATTTAGGCTGTTATAATTAATGAAACCTAATGTATAGCCATGGGCCAGTGAAATTTTCAGTTTATACTTACTTTTTAAAAAAATTCTAACAATGCTTTCAAAACTTGAAGAAGACAAATTAGATTGAGAATAGTACTTTTGATAGAAAAATTAATCTGAAAATAAAAATAAATTTAAATAGCTCATAAGCCTTTTCTTTTTTTACAATGGTAATAATGTTTTATTGCATTATTCAATACTTGGTAATGTTCTCATTAGGAACTGGCCATTTAATAAATATTGGCTGCATTCTCCTGATGGGAAGGGAAGGAATTATTTTGTTTTCAAAGTTCTAAGAGTTCTTTTAATCCAAAGGGGGTGATTGAGTTTTTAGATTCTCTGCTTCAGCCAAGGCTGCTAGAAGGCTATCCAACCTTGTTTATCCCAGAGCACTGTTGACATTTTTAAAATTTTGCTTAACCCTTGGGTAATGGGATAGAGAGAGAGAGGAGGCAGGAAATCCTTAAGAAATATATACTCGAGGCTGGGTACAGGGGCTCACACCTGTAATACTGGCACTCTGGGAAGCCAAGGTGGGTGGATTGCTTAAGCTCACAAGTTCAAGACCAGCCTGAGCAAGAGCAAGATCCTGTTTCTACTAAAAAAATAGAAAAATTAGCCAGACATTATAATGGGCACCTGTAGTCCCAGCTACTTGGGAGGCTGAGGCAAGAGGATTGCTCAGGCCCAAGAGTTTGAGGTTGCTGTGAGCTATGATGCCACAGCACTCTACCTAGGGTGATAGAGTGAGGCTGTGTCTTGAAAGAAAAGAGAGAAGAAAAAGAGAAAAAGAGAGAGAGAGGGAGGGAGGGAGAGAGGGAGAGATGGAGGGAGGGAGGGAAGAAGGAAAGAAGGAAGGAAGGGAGGGAGGGTGGGAGAGAAGAAAGGAAGAGAAAGAAAGACAGCCAGACAAACAGAAAGACTACACTCAGTTTTGAATATGAAGAGAGAAAAGAGGTGCCTGGTAGTCTGGGTAAGGCAAGAATTAGAGCCCAGTTTACTGTAACATGGAAGAGGTCTTTAGATTGCCAGTGTGTTTAAACACAGGAGCTGGAGAGAGTGAAAGCATTTTATTATTTATAATCACAGAATTTGGAGCTGAGAAAGAATGTCAAACGTCAATGAAGACTATTGCAGTCCAAGACATAATTTATTCCTTTTGCATTAGTTTATTGCTTTTATTGCAGTGCCTATCTGAAAATGACACAGAAAGAAAGAACACTCTGTCCCCTATTCACATATGGCCAAATTATGGCTCAGAAGACTCTTGCTCAAGTTCATCTAGTAAGACAAAAACAGTAATGGAACAAAGATGGCACTCTGATTCTCAAGTTCACATTCCTGTTAACATGATAGTTCCCTTATTCTTCAAATGTGGGGGGGGATGTCTTTTATACAAAACTATTGTTTTTCTTGTTCAAAGGTTATATTGGCTCTTTAATTCAATGCCATGCAATTTCCTAGAAACTCTTAAGTGGAGAATTCCAAAGAGCTAGAGACATGATTTTCACAAAATGAAGCATAATACAATAACAAAAAAG